GCCTCCAGTAAACACTTCTCCTTCCTGAGAATTAGAGCTGCATTTGCTGACCCAGCATCAAGCAACAAATCCAATCTTAAAGCCTCTTTCTACATAGGAGCTCCAGAGAAAGCCATCTTTGGGGACACTGCTATTCAGGACCCTATTCAGGCTATAGGTTGGGGGAAAATCAGGGATGCTATGGGGCAGATGGAGGGGCTGCACTAGAGTTTCTAGAACTTAAGTTCATTTCCCTCAAACTGGACAGAGGAGAGGAAGGTGCCCTCTCTCTGACACAGGCAAAACCAGAAGGGGGCCCGTACCACAGCTAGAGAGGGTTTCTTTTCTTTTTTTTTTTTTTTTGGAGAGGGTTTCTTAAGTCTTTGTAATCTATCCTCTCCCTTGAGGATGAGTTCATGAATTACTGAATGGAACTGGAAGATTCCATGAACTATTATCTACTCCTGAGCCACCTTATCTCTGTGCTGTCATTCACTCTGTCATCCAAACCAAGAACCACAGGGCCACCTGCCATGTCCTCCCTCAACCATCACTTCTAAACACTTCCAGAGTCCAGTTGATTTCCCTCAAATCTCTGACCTTCTGTCCCATCTTCACTGTCTCTGGCATGATCCAAAATGCTACCAGTTCTTGCTGCAATTACTGGACAAGCCGACTCACTTTCCCCACTCTATCCTCCACCCACAAGAGGGCTCTGTGGAAGGTATAAGTCAAACTGCTTCTTCCACACCCGATATCTATCACCAACAGGATGCAAAATGCGTTTTTTATTTTTTAGAGGGTGGGGTGCGGTATCAGCCCTGAGGCTTGAACTCAGGGCCTGGGCATTATTTCTGAGCTCTTTTTGCAGAGGGCTAGTGCTCTACCACTTGAACCACAACTCCAGTTCTGGATTTCTCTTAATTGACTGGGCTAGCTTTGAACCAGGATCCTCAAATCTCAGCTGCCTGAGTAGCAGGACTACAGGCATGAGCCAACCAGCACTTGGCAAGATGCAAAGTTGAAGTATCTTGCATGGTACATGCCTAACTCTCCAGTGTGTCCTGCAGCCAGGTCTCTTTACACTCTCTGCTGGAACCCCTGTGGCACACATCTGCACCTGTGCTACACTGCTTCCACCTATACATCCAGGAACTACTTATTCTTCCAGGTCCAATTCAAATTCAAAGGGATCCCAAGGTTCTCCTTAATCTCCTCCTCCTCATCCCAAGGTGAGTCACTCCTACTCACACAATTCCCGCTACATGCTGCCCAGACTTTTAGGAGACACTCACCAAGCTCTGTGCAAGAGTCCATGGATTAATGCCGGCCTGTCCTAGCTGGACCACAACCTCCTTCTGGGCAGGGTCTTCCTTCCATCTTCTTCCTCCCATCCCAGTACCTAACACATGCCAGCAACACATGGGAGCTCATGTGTACATTTAAGGTTCTGTATTAAGATACCACATACATAAATTAATGTGATGCTTCCTGAAGATTGCAAGACCAGACTAGGGTCACTGGTAGGGAACTCACATAGAAGAAACTTTAAATAACATTTTCTCCTGTGTATATTTAAAAATGGTACTTTTTTTTTTTTTTGCTGACCTTGAACTCAGGGCCTGGGTGCCGTCCCCAAGCCTCTTTGTGCTCAAGGCTAGCGCTCTACCACTTGGGCTACACCACCACTTCTGGCTTTTTCTGAGTAGTCTAATTGGAGATAAGAGTCGCATGGACTTTCCTGCCCAGGTTGGCTTTGAACTGTGATCCTCAGATTTCAGCCTCCTGAGTAGTTAAGATTACAGGCATGAACCACTGGCACCCAGCTTGATAATCTTTTTTCTCTGTATTCTTACTTCTATATTTATTTAAAAATGATCCTTTTAGCTGGGTACCAGTAGCTCCCACCTAAAATTCTACCTTATCAGGAGGCTGAGACCTGAGGATTGAGGTTTGAAGCCAGACCAAGCAGACAAATATGAGACACTCTTATGTCCAATTAACCAGCAAAAAGCCAGAAGTTGCTCAAGTGGTAGAGTGCCAGCCTTGAGTAAGAAAGCTAAGAAACAATGCCTAAGTTTAAGCCCCAGTAATACACACACACACACACACACACACACACACACACACACACACACACACTGCCACGTACACATAGTGCCTAGCTGAATTATTGAAACAATGCCTAAGTTTAAGCCCCAGTAATACACACACACACACACACACACACACACACACACACACACACACACACACACACACACACACACACACACACACACACACCACCATGCACACATAGTGCCTAGCTGAATTATTGGCATTGGGTAAACTCTCTATAGATTTCCTTTCCAAAAACAATACAAAAGAAATTCTGGGCTCTTGTGTTTTTGTTTGTTTCTGCAGGCTGCAGGAGTGAGGGGGGCGGGCAATAGGGCTTGAACTCAGAGCCTGAGCTTTTTCACTCAGGCTAGTGCTCTACCACTTTAAGCCACAACGGCTACTTCTGTTTTTTCTGGTAGTCAATTGGAGATAAGTCTCAAGGATTTTCCTACTGGTTTTAAACAGTGATCCTCAGATCTCAGCCTCCTGAGTAGCTAGGATTATAGGTGTGAACTACTGGCACCCGCCTGCTTTTATGATCATATAGGACAGCTTTAACAGCTCAATGAGCATGCTAATTCCCATGAACTGTCTTCACTAATTTGCACGAGTTCTTTACAATAACCTGTAATAAAAACTAGCACTTCTCAAGCATTTACTGCTTGAGTCTGCATTTACTACTCAGTGAGTACTAAGTACTCAATCTGCAAGTTCTCACTGAATCCTCACAACTGCCCTACTAGGGAAGTACTCCTATGCCCCATTTTATAGATGAGAAAGCTAAGTATGGAGAATAAGTAACCGCTTGTGACTAGCACACCTGGGATTAGAACTCAGATCTAATAACTGAGCCAAATAACCTCTCAGCCTCTTCAACTTACTGCCTTTCCTAAAGGTCAAATTAAAGGCACAAGTAAGTCAATACACACTCCTTACCACTAGCTGGCTTTCTGGGAGGGCAGTCCCACCTCCCTGGATGCTTAGGTGAACTGCAATCCCAAGAAGAGAAAGGAAAGGCTCACATGCCAGGCCTATGTGCACTGGTTACACCTGTCATTTCTCAGCAGAGATCTATTACCCGGATACCAACTCTCCTTTCAGAAGCCCACAGTTGTCTCTGAAAATTCTCCAGCCATTTAGCCCTCCTCCCCCTCCTTTACTAGGGCTCCAGAGACCTCAATCTAAAACAGGGACCCAATTATGCCATGCCTTGTCTTAAAAGGTGAAAAGCATCTCACTGTCCTGGGGATAAAGTCCCATCATTAATGTGATTAGTTCTAGTCAACTATTGCTTCACCTTGCACCATACCCGTACATTGAACAATCTGAGGTTCCTAGAATAAAAAACACATTTCTCTCTCTTACTCCCTTTTCCTTTCATGCCCACCTACCCAAGCCTTTTCTTCTTCTAGCATCACCAATGACATGTATCCCATCCTATATCCCGGACTGAGCTGGCAGTGACTGAGCTATGGCTTCCTCTGCTGGGCTTCCACAGCACTGTTCCTGATGCTGCTAGCTTTTTCAGATCACATTTCAACTATTTGTTTACAGGCCAGTCACTTCTTAACTAAACCATGAGCTCCTTGTACAATTAATTTATGCTAATAAAAATAAAGTAATAAAAGGGTTAGCTAACATTTATTGAACTGTTAAGTGGTGGACATGATTCTATATGTTTTGCATGTGTTTGTTAACTTTTCAATTCCATAATAATTTTGTATCACCCCTTATTTTACAGATGAGGACACCAAAGCTCAGACAGTTTCAGCAAAGTGCCCAAGGTCATACAGCTAGAAAGATGTTCAGCCAGAATTTGAACTTGAGAAGTATGACTACTCCAAAGCCCACTCTTAATGACTATACCATAAAGACAATACTATACAGCACTTGTTTTTCACAAGCAAGGATCCTGTTGTTATGTGAGGAATGAATGAATGAATGAGGACTACCTAGACAGTCTATATCTAATCCACACACATTGGCATAGCAGAGCCATTAAGGAAAGCTGTTTACAAGTAAGAATTCTCTGGGCCCTACAATTACACGTTTGCTGCTCTTCCTTATCTCATGCAAAACTACTCAGCAAAGAGGGATCGGCTCCTGACCCAGCATGACTACCTTCTTCCCCACTGGTTCTCAAAACCAAGCAAAGCCAACCAGTTTCCTCCAGTGACTTAAAACAGGGCAAAGTCTACTCTGCCACAGAAGGCGGCTGTCACCTCTTCCTTCCGCCAATCAAAAGACAACAAACTTGGGGAGTGGTGGGGGGTACGGTGGAAGGGTGGACAACGCCAAGGGGAATCCGAAGGTCCTATCTCCGGGCCGAAGGTGGGGCCAAGTGGCGTGGGAATGGGCGGGCCTGACCGACAGGCAGGTGAAACACTGACCACAGCAAGCTTTCGCTTTGGATAAGACCGGCCAAACGTGGATCTGGCAAGCAGGTAGCTCTGACTCGTACCTGAACGCCGCCCAGGATGTGAAAATTCTCCAGCAGCGCTGGTACCGGTGCCAATGGGTGAGGGCGACAAGAGGAAGGGGCCCTGCTTGGACTCCCTGGGGACGCATCCTAACTTTCAAGTCTCTCTCGGGATCGGAGGGGTAGCAGGGAGAGGCGGAGGGCGCGGAAAACCTGGTTGGGTTGAAACGCTGGCTGTTTCACTTATTGCCTGAGTGGATCTGGGCAAAGCTGGAAGTGCCCAGCCTTCCCCGGGCTGCGACGGGGACCGAGGCTGCCGCCCCTGCCCCCCGGGGAAGGACAGACCCCGACAGAGAAGAGAGCATTGGCTGTGGCCATTTCGCTCATGCCCAGATGGTTCGGGTCAGTTAGTCAGGTCCCACCGCCAGGGCCACCCAGGCCCAACCCCCCAACACGCAGCCCCTGCCCGGCAACCCGCGCCGGGACCCCCCTGCCTCACCTTCCCCGGGTGGTCAGCGCTGCTCGCCCATAGTCCGCAGCCCGGAGCCGGGGGGCTGCTCGGCGCTCCGTCCCGGGGGCCAGGGCCGGGCCGGGGGCGTGGGAGCCGCTCACCGCCGTCTCCCAGTGTCGCCGCCCGAGCCGCCGCCGCCGCCTCCCTCCATGGCTGCGGCGCCGCCACCTGACAACGGAAGTGACGTGAACCTTCGCCTCGCCTCGACCACGCCCCCAGGACCTGCCCCCTAGTTTGAGTCAATGGACCGCGGGCTGGGGCGCCATCTTGACCACGGGCGGAAGCCTTCAGGGAGGGAGGCCAAGACCAGATTGAGGATTGGTTCAGAGTGGACAGTGGGTCGATTCTTGTGAAATGATTGGAGAATGAGACTCTAGGAGGCGGTACTTACCGCTAACCTGTGTCTGCGGTGAGGTTGGGACGGGGCGCCGCCTCGCCGGGACTTTGTAGAAACCTGTGGGCCCTACACTTGCTTTGACAGGGTTGGACTGGTTGCACCACTGGCCGACTGCCGTTTATTTACCAGAAAAGCAATCCTTACTTGACCCTCATGCATCGGCTTTCTCAAACTCGGTGCGGAAAACGCCGCAATTAGGTCCCGTAAAAGACAGGGATTCCTGTCGCAGCGCTCACAAATCATTTCCCTTGCGGCCCCTTAGCGTCAATCTGAAGGTCCTGGGACCAGGAAGGATGACAGTGATGAGTTACAATGAACAATTCCAGCCATCTAACTTGGCTTCGTCCCTCTGGGTAGTTTCAGTCCCTTTCTCCTCCTCCTCCTCCTCCTCCTCCTCCGGCAACCACGCCCTCCATGAATCAGCTTCTTGCACCAGCCGAAGAGCCCTTTAAAGGGATTGCATCAGGCTGATGACTCACTGGGGCTTTGAGAGTCTGACTTCCCTTCCCTGGCAAGCAGAAACAGCCTGAAAGGCTCAGTGGCAACAGCACTGGCAGCCATAGCCCCACTCCTTTGTCTTAGAGAAGTGAGCTGGGGTGGCTTGCTGCTTGTGACTTTTTAATTAAGCTTTTTTCAGCTGTCCTCTGGATCACTCTATCCATTAGTAGGTGCATGTATCCAAGCCCGTGAGCACTGCTGAGGTTCCCTAGTGTGTGTGGCCAGCCATTTAACGAGTAGGTGTATTTTGCCTTGTCCACACAGGAAGTGCTGGACATGAGGGCTGGTCTGAATGCGGTCTGCTTGGCTAGCCTGTGTCCACTTCTTTGTCTCTCTGAATGCCTGGTACTGAGCTGCTGAGAGGCTGAAAAACAACACTAATCAGAGTACCTCTCACTGTTGTGCCACCTACTGAGTGAAGCTTTTTAGAGATTTAGGCCTCTATTTTGCCCAGAAGGAAGTTAGAGCTCAGAGAAAGGAGGTAACCTGTTCAAAGACACACAGCTAATAATGGCAGGGCTGAGATTTGAACTAAATCTGGTGGATTCCAAAAGACTAGGATTTGAATCCCTGCAAATTCCCTAATAGTCCTGGGTTTCTAAATAGGGATAACACTTCCTAAGATCTCTGTGAGGGCTCAGTGAGTTATGCAATCAGCTTCTCACAGGACCCAGCCAGTGCTCTCACTCATGTCAGTGGCAAAGCCTCAGTCAGGTAGATGTTCAAAACAAGCCTGGTGAAGTCAGGCCCCAGCCCACCATGCTCCTTTCTCTGACAAGGGAAAAGCCTAGGGATTCCGGAAGCCCTAACTCTCACAAGAATGAGTTTTGGGTTTTCCAGAGCTCTAATTATCAGCTAGATGACTCACTCAGTGCTGACACCACCATTCCCATCCCCTGGAGACTGTTGGCTGATTCAAAATATAGAATTGTAACAAAGGGGAGGAAGAGAAAAAGAGCGGAGGAGAGAGGTAATGAATAGAAACTAAAAGTGCCAGCCAGAAAAGAAAATCTGTCACCAGGACACCAACATGAAAAACATGAAAGATCGCTGGGACACACATACACTGACACTGACATTCCCCTCCTGGCTCTTCAACTCTGGCTCTCCAACTCCAGCTCACTGGCAGATGGTGCTGACATAGCAAAGTGACACCTGTCACAACAGCCGGAGATTGTGGCTTAAAGAGGTATATAGTCACATCTCTACCTATCACAGAAGGACGGGAGGAGGCTGCAAGCCATAGGGGCTTCTTGATGCTTTGAACCTGCCAACCTTACTGGTTGGTTTTTGTCTTCATTTGATGATCAATCCATAAAGCCTAAATATGGCAAATTTTGAGTGTGGCTAGGTATAACCACTGTGGGGAACAGAGGCAACTGAAACCTTACTCATCATCAAGAGCCCTGGGAAACCGAATTGTATAACAGTTAAGATCATGGAAAGCCAGGTGGTGGTGGCTTATGCTTATAATACTAGCCACTAAGGAGGCTGAGAGATGAGGATAGAGGTTTTAAGTTAGCCCAAGCAGAAAAATCTGTGAGACTATATCTCCAATTGATCAACAAAAAGCTGGAAGTAGAGGTGGCTCAAGTGGTAGAATATTGGCCTTGAGTGAAAAAACTAAACTAGTGAGCTGGGTGCTGGTGGCTCACACCTGTAATCCTAGCTACTCAGGAAGCTGAGATCTGAGGATCACAGTTCAAAGCCAGCCCAGGCAGAAAGTCTGTGAAACTCTTATCTCCAATTAACCACCAGAAAAATGGAAGTGGCGCCATGACTCAACGTAGAAGAGCCCTGGGGCTGGGAAGGTGGCTCAGTGGTAGAGCGCTTGCCTTGCATGCCTGAGGCCCTGGGTTCGATTCCTCAGCACCACATAAGCAAAAAGGAAAAAAGCCGGAAGTGGCGCTGTGGCTCAAGTGGTAGAGCGCTAGCCTTGAGCTGAAGAGCTGAGGGACAGTGCCCAGGCCCAGAGTTCAGGCCCCATGACTGGAAAATAAATAAATAAATAAAAAAAAAGTAGAAGAGCCCTGGTACTGGCAAAAACAGACCATGGAGTTTGGAGCTAGGCAGACCCAAGTTCAAATCTATACTCTGTTGTTCACATTTAATTTCTGTGAGCTTGTTTGAACTGCAAAATGGGGCTGTTAACTTTCATGGTTGTTATCATGATGCAGGAAGATTACTTTCATCCCACAAAGACTGATTGAGTATTGTGATACCATATCTGGTATCACAGCTCTGCCCTGTGGTGCGTAAAGAAATCCTGGCAGAGGGCATGGGACAGGCAGAAACCATTTGTAGGGACCATTATGTTGCTCATCTCAGCTTTTTGCCTCTAAATAGCCGTGAAAGCTTACGAGCAATCTCTTTCCTAACTGAAAAGTGATGGAGTTGGACTGGGTCATTGGTCTCAAACTTTCTCACCTTAAAGTCTTTTTCAATATTTTTCCTCCACACAGGCCTTGTATTTGGCAATATGTGTGTGTGTGTGTGTGTGTGTATATATATATATATATATATATATATATATAGTTATATAACACATATATAACATATCATTCATCACAGTCATTGCAGCTTATGATCAGGAACAGCAGACTGGAATGACCACTCCAGAGCATAATTTCACCCCATAGCAGACTAAACCAGTTTTGTCATATTTCAGCTATGTGCTGCTTCTCTAGACCCTTCTACAACATTCAAAGAATTGCTGTTGCCCCTATAGATCCTTGAGCCAGGCATATCAGACTGGAACTCACAGAAATGGTCTAAGTCCACCCAGTGCAGCCACGCTGAGAGGTGGACATGATATCATGATATCTCCATAGGGAGAGTTGACCTGTAAGCTGCATGCCCACTGGGCTTTCTCCAGTGCCCTCCCTGACAGTCTCCTCCATGCAAGCAATAGACTCTTGGACTATTTCCAGGGAGGGACAGTGTCACCTGAGCTCTCAAAACTCCTTGGGTTCTGTCATCAACTGGGGTGCACGTCAGCTAAAGCTGCAGAAAGTATAGATGTGAGCTTGAACAAAGGCCGTGGTAATCCAGACATGGATGGCACAATACTATCTGAAACTATGACTTCAATCTTTTCCTTGGTGTTCCGGGGCCCCTCCCTTATGTAGTTAGGTTACTGCACATTTGTTGCTCCAGGAAATGAAGAGTACAACAGAATGAATGCAGAATCCATTTTTAGCTTCTGGATTCCAAAGCCCAGCTTGCAGGGAGGAATGGAAAGAATTTCTATGTAGAAACAAATTTAGAAAACTGGAATGGGGGGATATGGGAACCTAATAGTGGGATGGAAAAAAGGGTCCCCTTCCACAGAGAAACTTCTCTAGGCCTGGGGACGTCAGCTGGTACTCAGGAGTTGCTTAGGGGACAAATGCTGGCTTTTTCTCAGGTGCCTCATCATGCAGGTAACAAAACCTTCTTGAGAAATGCAGCTGAGAAGCTGTGGGCTGCGTTTGACTAAATTGGGCCTAACCCAAGAACTTCTGGATCTAACATAGTCTGAGGAGAGCAGGAAAGCAGGAATCTAATTAACTTGTTTCCTGACGATGAGCCATAGTGACATAAAGAGAGGTCTTTTGGTTAGGGAGTGATTAAATAAGCAACTTTCTTTTTCGTGGGGCTTGAACTCTGGGTCTGGGCACTGTTCCTGAGCTCTTCAGCTCAAGGCCAGTGCTCTACCACTTAAGCCATAATGCTGCTTCTGGTTTTCTGGGGGTTAACTGGAGAGAAGAATCTCATGGCCTTTCCTGCCTGGGTTGGCTTTCAACTGTGATCCTCTCTGCCTCCTGAGTAGCTAGAATTACAGGTGAGAGTCACTGGTGTTGGGCAAGTAAGCAACTTTCTAGGGCTGATGCCCAAAGACTAGACAAAATGAGAATCTGTCAGTGGATGCCAAGGTGACTGGATGATCACCACATCAGAGAGCTCCTCCCTGGCTTTGGCATTTGGAAAGAAGATGCCCCAGAATCCAGATATCATTCTGAGGAAAGTGATGAGAACTCTGAGGCATCTGCAATTATGTTTCTGCCACTCTGGCTGAGTTGGGAAAACAGGAATTGAAGTGAGTAAAAGAAAATCCAGGCCAGGTGCCAATGGCTCACACCTATAATCCTAGCTAGTAAGGAGGCTGAGATCTGAGGATCGTTGTTAAAAGCCAGCCCAGATAAAAAAGTCCCTGTGAGACTCTTTTTTTTTTTTTTTTTTTTTGGTCGGTCGTGGGGCTTGAACTCTGGGCCTGGGCGCTGTCCCTCAG